TCAGGAAGGCTTGTATTCCTTTTTTGTGTATAAACAGTATCTTTAACATAACAGTCTTCTAACGAAGATAAATCTTCTGGCTCTACAAATAATAGAAGATCATTGTGATTGTAATCAGTCTGGTTTGTGTTTTCAGAATCACTAGTTGATTCATTGTCATCTAAGTAGTTTATATCTTCCTCTTCATTCAAGTTACAAATATCATTCTTTGTGTAAAAATCAATAAACGCTTTTTTAAATGTACAATGCTTATTTTCTATAACACAATTTCCTAATGCTATCAGATCACTAAATGTTATCAATCGGTCACTTAATGAAGGTGTAAGAGAATTATAGGCATCTTTTAATTTTCTTATTAATGTATCATTTGCACTCTTAAGATTATTAAACCCTATTTTTACAACATGGGTAAATAATATAAGAAATATGTACAATGTTTCTATTTTCTTATCAAGCAAATGTTTGAAAGTAAGTAACTGTGTATTTAAGTATTTAGTCAATACTTCATCTAATATATCTTTTCCATAACCAACAATTGATAATTTTTTAGTCAAATATGCTACATCATTTAAAGCTTGAGTTGTCCATGTATAGAGATTAGGAAAGTTACTAGAAAATAAGACATAAAAATCATTTAAAGGAATGTGTGGTAAATTAACATTTTTACAGATAGTGCCATTACTTCTATTCTTGTAGTAATTTTTATAATCTTTTTTAGAATCATTTATAACAGTGTTTTTATACTCTTGTTTATATTTTCCATTTGTTTCCTCAGTACACAGCTCTACATCTTTTACTTTAGTACATTTTTGATCTTCTGACATGCTATTTCTTATTGTATCTAATATTTCCACAGGCAATGTATGTTGCATTAATTTTTTATATATCTCATTTTTTATCCATTTCTTTTTTTGGACAACAAGTATATCTTCGACTATTAAATCATGTTTATTCCAGGATTCTAATAAAAATACTTTTGTCCTTCGTTTCTTTTCATTTTTTATAAAATGATGTATTGATCTAATGTATTCTGTAACATCTTCTTTTTTTAATGCATTTACAAATTGTGTACATTTATCAATGACATAAGATAAAGCAAATTTTTCATATCTTTCAGTGTAATATAGTAATGGGATAGAAGGATCAACTAGAATATGTTTAAGACTTCGTAGGCATATTTCAACTTCATCTATATTTTCATGAAACACTAAATATTCTCCTAGATTTACTTTTTTATATTTAAAACAGTTTTGTAGTATAATCTTTTCCCACAGCAGAAAAGCAAAATGATATATAGATTTGGTCGTAATATATTGATTTAAATAATCAGCTAGGTCATTAATGCTGTTTACAAACATCAAGTACTTTTCATAAAAGACAATATATTCATTGATCCAATTTTCATTATTGAAAACATTATGCATATTGTTCTTTAATATTTCATACAAAAAATCTCCTATTTTCCAATATAAATCTTCAACATATTTATGGGATGTTGAAGTACAAACAATATAAATATTATTGTAAATTATTAAAGCACTGCATTTTTTATTGTTATATAATAATGTAAGTTCATGTTGTATTGAGTTCCATAGTTTATCAAAATTGACTTGTGTCAGGTGACTTTTTCCTATGTTCATATTTTTTATTTATGCTTTTAAAAATTATAAATTTTAAAAACAACAAACAAACTTTTGTTTAAATTGAAACAAACTTAGTTCGGATTTTATAAATTAATTTAAGTATTTTAACTTAAATTATAAAGTTTAATAAAATTAAATCAGTAAGTTACTAAATGTAGTAAGCATTTTAACAACAGTTGAATTATAACAAAAAAACAATTATATGGTGTATTATAAAATTAATTATCCTAATATATTTTATATCTTTAAGACCATCTTGTAAACATGTAATTGTTTCAAAAAGTTATCATAACCTTTTCTTTTCTTTTTCAATAAAATTTTTATTCATTTTGCTTTCATCCTGCACGAGTCAGAAAATTAGTAAAAATTTATAAAATAAAATGAAATATTATTGTCCCTCGACATAATTATTTTTTAATTTTGTTATTTATTCTATAATGCCGGAAATAGCTGGCAAGGAATTGAATTTTAGGTAATTTTCAATTAGATTATCAAAGTTAAAAAATTTTTTTAAAATGTTTATTTGATTCCATTCTTCTTTACAATTTTTTCTTATTTATATTTTAAGCTTCAGATATGTTGCAAACATCTTTATTTAAACCAATATTATTCAAGATTTTTTAAATTATATATTTTATAAAAAAATTATTGTTTGCGATGAAACCAAATAAACTAAATATGTCATTTTGTAACCTCTGGTAGGTAAGGTGTTCAAATCTTAAGTGTTGTTCTATATAAGAACAAATAAATAACATAATAATTTATTTGTTTATTGGTTGATTTTTATTGAAGAAACTTCAGTTCATCAGATTTATTTAAGCACCCACAATTTTTTCAGATTGATTATACATCATGAGTCTTTAATTGTTAAATTCTTAAAACAAATAAATAATCTTCTATTACTAACTATTTTATTATCACTAGACTTATAAGGCATCTTTGTGTCATAATAATCGTTGCTGGTGTTCCTTTTGTTATACTGAGCTTCTCCTTGTTTCATTTTTTATTTTTGTGTCCCTTCTTTTCAATTTTTTTATTAATAACAAAATTTATTTATATTTTTAGAGAAAATTTTTAAAAAAATGTGTTGAATACCACATAAGCAAAGAAAATTCTTTAAGTTTGTATGAAGAAAAACAAATTTAAGCTTATGTTTTATTAGGCAAACATATTAAGCAAATTAGTGTAATGTTGGGCAGAAGCAAGACTTTTATTAAAAAAAATCTACCTTAAAAAATGTAATTAAAACTATTAATACAACAAAAATCAAAAAGCCCCATTGTTTATAAGATATTTGAAAGTCCAAAGTATAGGTTCTACTAAGGCTATTGTTATTCCTAAAATTAAATCTGCTTTATATATTTTTGTATCAAAATCTACAACTTAAGAGCGATTTAAGAGGATAGTAATCCTATTATAAAAGAATGAGGCAAAGTTAAGTTTAAAAAAAATACAGAAATGTAAAAGGGTTAATTTTGCTTTAGATAAAATTTTATGGACCTGTCAGTAAAATTAAGTAAATTGTTAATAAAAAAAGTTTACTTTAGATGATCTAGATGATTTTTATATTATTAGTAACAATTAAAACAAAGATGTAAACTTATATAGTAAATATAAATAGGGCAAAGACAAAATTATAGTTTGAGCCATTTTTGTTCTAGCGAACAATTAATTTACAAATTGTTAGTATAAAATGAACAGCTTTGCTTATTCTATGAAAAATACTCCTCTGTTAACTTTTCTTGAAAGTAAAAAAGATATAGGGTTATTGGGGCTTATTTTTAATTCAAAAAAAGGCAAAATTTTATTGGTTTTGAAAGCGCTTGGCATTCACGATAATATAAATGCAAACAAAAGCTGTTTGGTTTAAGGAAAAACTGATTTTAAAAAAAGTGGCGAAAATAGATTAATATGCTTGAAATGTCGAATATAAATGCAACACCTACCTCATTTTTATAATTTTTAATTAAAAAACTATATAATTTATTTTTGTTATCGATACAGATTTTTTTGCGCTCGAAGACAATATCGAGCTCTTCCTGTTGAACCTATTTTAGACGTATTACGTCTTCTTTATTATTGATTTTTTAATTAATCTATAAAAACTATGCTTAGATAAGCCAAACAGATTTACAAAAGTATTGTGTCATCTCTCAATAGCATTATATTTGTGTGAAGTATGGTGAGATTATTTAAAATTAAAAGAATGCCATATAGCGGGAAGGAATAAGAAATTCGGCCAAATATTGGTAGATTTAATAAGTGGAATAAATGCGTTATTGCAGAAGAGAAATCACGAGATCTCATTAGTAACTCAAAGTTCGAGCTTTACGTATCAAGTTTAACATAAACAAGTGCTAAAAATTCTTTGGTATACATGCTAAAAAAGAAATTGGTTGCATAGATGTTGGTGAAATTTAAAGCCTTGATTTCCTGTCTATTGTCACTTTAAATGTAATAAACACCCCGAAATACGTACACCTGAAAGGTATTCTCGAAGCCGTTTGATCAAAGCTTGTTCATAAACAATTTTGACAGTTATGGATGCAAGGGAATCGATAAGATCTTTTAAAAAAGCTAAACAAAAATGTTTTTATTTCGAGATTCTAACTTTAAATATTGCAAATACTGAAGGAAAAATAACGATCATATATATAGGATGCGAGATATAATTGTAAGTAGAGGGCTGATACTGTCGAAAACATCCCATATACTGCATATACATCGTTATGTCTAATTTATTAGCAGTGTAAATAGGATAAAAAATCAAAATATCGTCGCTTCTGGCAAGATTCTTGTAGTTTTCCGGCCCATAATGGAAAAGACGATTGATCAAGATATGTTGTAGGTAACAATGAAAAGAGTTTTAAGGTGTGATTGAAATATGATAAAGAATTAATGTAATTCGGCCTGTGAAATCTTACTACCTAAATATATACTCAACCCACCCAAAGGCTTTAAATTTCTAATATCACATTCCATATAACGGCACAAGCAACGTTCCTAGAACTATCATTAGAGCTTATTAGTCTTTCTTTCATTTTATTTATTAAATTACGCTTAACTTCAGTATCGCAAGTTGTTCTGTGATTGTAAGTGTCTTTAGGAAAAAATAAAGTAAGGTTGGAAGCAAAATTGGTACCTAATATTGCCTACGCTTTACAATTCCTATTTAAAAATTTTACGTATAGAATTTTCGTTTCTAGGTTTTAATCTAAAAATATATTTGAAATCGTCTACAAAAAGACTTTTTTCAAATTTGCTTTTCCAATTACATTTTGGGGTAAAAATAAAAAACGTTACGGTGCTTTTTCTTGGGCTATTTTAATAAAAAGTCCCAATTGACATGGTACCTGGGTTCGTGCAACTAAGATATGATTTGTAAATAACACTATTGATGCATTAACTGGCAACTATAAAGACCATATCCTTATTTTGTTAAAATTTTATGACCAGATAAGCCAAGAGTAATTATAAAAACAAAAAATATACTAGTATTCAAAATTTACATTTTGCGATATTAGTAGTCTTATCAAGTATAGCTCCCAAAAATTCATAAAAATATATCAATGGAATGCAGAAGTGCATGATTGAAGTTATTAAAAAAATTGCAGGATAAAATAAATAATTCTTTAAAAAAAACATAAAACCATCGTGTGTAAAAGACATATAGAAGTAAGTTAAAATAACATTTTTTAATAAAAATATTAAATATCAAATATTATTTGTGCATATATAGTTTATTCCTAAATTTAAGTTTTATGAGCTATACCATTTTATTGTAAGACTAATTAATTTGTTCAAACATTTTGTAGTAGTTATTATTAAAAAGATAAAATTACATAATACATAATTGCAACAAACTACACCAAATGTATTATTTACAATTTTATAAAACGTGTTTTATGAGGATAGTTTTAAAATTTTGACGCATTTCTTAAGACAAAAAAATCTAAAAACTAAAATTGTCTTATATAAAATAAGTTTTTATAAAAATTACTTTCATAATCATTTTAATTGCAAAATTTGAACACAAATTCTATTAATATTGTATAGCATATATTTTGTGCATGTTTACAACTTATGTATAATCTTAAAAAGATAACGGTCACATTAAACATTTTTAAAATATATTATCTGTCAAAAAAATTTTTATAAATTGGGATCATACAAATTTAAAATTTTTCTGTGGACTGAATAATGTAAAAAGTTTATATATTTTTTATTACTACATTACTTTTGTGTTAAATGATTAAAAAGTGAACAAATTGCTTAATTATAATATATATAAATAATGTGAGATTATGGTTAAATATCAATTATATATTTATAAAGTTATTACGATATCGTATCAATAGCCTAAGTTTACTTATATGTAATTATTATATGTTTAGATTGTTTATTGAAACTTTTTAATAATTTGTCAATACGATATACTAAGAGCCTGTACAATATTTTTTTATATAATTTTGCTTAGTAATTTATATAATTGTTTAAAAGACTAATTCGTGATAGTACTTTTTTAAAGTATTGCACTTAATCTATAGCATTTATAATGATAAAAAAAGACCATATAATACTTTTTTATAAACATTATTAGAATTTTTATATAAGATTTATATTGACAAGCCGGTTTATGCTAAAGATTAGTTGAATAATTAATTATAACAAATTACTAGTGCAATTTTTAGAAAAACAAATTTTGCATTTATTATTAATTTTATTTAAATGTGTTAAGAATTTAAAATTATCGTAGTCATAACATAATTAATCATTAATCTATCGTAAACATGCCTAATTAAGCTAGATTATTGTTGTAATGTTTTTTATTAAAATGGCTAAATTTATTGAATTTTTGTTGTCTCAAGCCAAGAGCAAGAATAAATTATTTCATTTAAGAACAAATAATATTCACAAACATTTTAACAATTTTGAAATGTTAGAGCTTATATGATCTATAAAATTTTATAGTAATCAACTTTTCTACAAGATAAAGCAGCTTAAATTTTTTAAGTACACAAAAACAAATTTTTTTATAAAAGAAAAAAATAATTAAAAATTTTGCAAAAATTTAATATTATTTATATTTAATTGCATCTCAATTTTATTTAAAGATAGTTATGGTTAAAATAATGATAACATGTCGTTAGATTAACCATATGTACGTAGGGAGATGTTTAATTTATTGACGCCAACACAAAGAATTTTTTTTGTTAAGAAAATTTATTATCATAGTGATTTTAATTAAAAAAATGCATGTCGATCTTTTTTAATTTAATACATTTATTGAAAACTTGATGATTAAATTTTACGTTTGTTAACGATATAAAACAACAATGTTATATAAAAAATAAATTTTTTTTTTATTTTGTGACATAATAATTGTCATTCTAATATAAATATAAAAAATTTTTCCCCATAAAAATGTTTTTTTGCATTTTATTTATTAGTACAACAAACATTTCAGATTTTGAAATAAAATATTTAGATAACGAAATAAACAGTTACCTATATAACATTCCTACCATAGTAGAAAATTCACAACAAAATACGATTCTTGAAAATTTATTTTACAATAACAAAACGCTGAAAAAAAATGAAGTAGAGACTGGAAGTGATCAAAGTAATTATAAGTCTTTTGGTGATAGTAATAGTATAGATAAGCAATGTGACCAATATACTTGTGAAACAGATAAATTATTATTAACGCCAAATCAAGATAGTAAAGGCTTATTTCAAAGTACGGAAAGCGTAAATTTTATTGACCAGGATTATTTAATGGACATAAGTTTAAATACGATAGTCAAAAATACTTTAAACGATACCCCTCAATATTTGAATGATGATTTAAATGTTAAAGACTTTTCTCATATTAACACAACTGAAAGAAATGAATTAATGACAAATAATGATTATTTTTTTACACAAACCGACACGTTTTCTGATGCAAGCTTGCTTAATCCAATGGAAAGCATACCAGCTGTGCAAGAAAATGAAGCTTTGACTGAACAACTAATATTCGATTGTACTGATAAACATATAAATTTTAATAATCAAAGCATTGACGACATAGTTATTGAAACTGACCTGTTTAAAGATATTGACATTGACAGATATGTTAATTGGGAGCCTGATGAATTTGATGATAAAAAAAGCTTTTTTGAAGAGTTTGATTTTGAATATAATTATGATAATTATGTAGTTGATTCTTGTTTTATAGAGCATGATACTGATAAATATGCAAATTTTTACGAAAAAGAATGCAAAGAACATAGTGCTATTAATTCTAAAAAATCTTTATATACAGATGATTTGACTGCAAATAATACAAAAATACGAAAGCTAAAGGATGATTGTATTGTTTTAGATTATAAAACCACAAAAAGCCTTTTATCTGATGATTCAAATATTGAGATTTTTAATATTTTAGTTGAAAATAGAAAAGAGTTACGAGCACTCAGAGATAAATTTTTTGTTTGTGTAAGAAAAAAATCATACGGTGACCCTATTTTTAATAACTTGAGTAAAGATATTAAATATCATAACATTCGCCAACAAACAGGAGTATATTCTTTATGGTTTAAGTCTTTTGCAAATGAAACTTTTAAACTCCTTGTGGATGATATTGAAACTCTTTCTCTGCCAGCAAATACTAAAAATTTATTTTTTGGGTGGGTTGAATTTTTAAGTGAAGTTGCTAAGTTTATTGCCAACTTTAAAAACCATTTCCATCTAAAACAATACAACAGGCGTGATGTGTTTAGTAATTTAACATTAACTGAAAGTATTAGTAACGAAATGATTTTAAGATTTAAATTGGAAAAGATTTATTTTTTTTTTGAGAAAATCATTCAAAAACACAAAAATGATAAATTTTATGATTCGAAATCTATAAGAATTTTATTGCAAATTTTATACAATTTTCAAAGGTTTGAAACAAACTTAAAACAATATGGTAAAAAGATTACAGTTTTGAAAGATTTTCATAAAATAAATTTTAATAACTAATATATGATTTTTTCATTTTTGTAAAATAGTTTTTTTACGGCCACCAATGTGTTTAAATTATCTAAAATGTGTAGATATTTTAAAAGTAACAATATTTGTTATTAATAGGGCAATTAAATGCAATTTTTCTGATTTAAATGTAACTTTTTAGCATTTACTTTTTTAATCTTAACCCTTATTATGTCAAAATAAAAAAAACCAAAGAAGAAAGAATTGAGAAATTTATTCATATGTATGGTGCAAATGAATTTTGTATACATTCAACAAAGGAATTATTCTACAACTTTTTGCAATGTTATTGTACAAAGTGATAAAAAAATTTTAGTTGATAAACACAGAACATTAGAGAAGCATATCGAGAAACTTATACAAATGAAACATTATTTTACTAAAAGTACACAGTCAATTTTGACTCTTAATACAGTATTATGGGAAAGGTTGTTAAAGCTCTTATGTCTGCTTACATATCGCTGTACAAGCTTAACAACAAACATGTGAAAGAAATGTTTAGATTTTAGGACAAAATTCAATAGCTGAAAGTGCGGCAAGGGCATATTTTTTGAATACATATTTAGGAACGCATATTATTGCATTGAAAAAGTATTTTTGAATAAGAAATTGTTTATTTATGCAGATGAAAGCGAAAAAATTTTACTAAATATTTAATCTTATAGCAAGAACTTTATAAACCCCGAGAGTTAATTATTTTTTAGATGTTTTTGCGCTTCCAAAAGATATTTGTTTGAATTTTCTTTTTGTAGAAAAAAAAATGGCTTGAAGTATTTTAAAAATTTGACATAAATTTAGATGACTTATCCTTGGTGTTTACTGATCAACGCGTTATATGACAAAAGCATTTAAGAACTTAAAGTTAAAAGATCTAAATTTTTTCACGTCACTTGTTTAGCCCATTTAGTGCATAATTGTGCAATAAGAATTTAAACATATTATGAAAATGTTGATAGATGTGTTGAAACACTAAGAGTTCTTTAAATAAAAAACAAAACTAGACCAAATTATCTTCAAGTATTAGCAAACCACCCGAGGTTGTTGTCAAAAGAAAGTCCAGCTGGCTAAAAACTTCGAAATATTATGCTGAAAAGTTACCAGTCATGAAAAGCATTGTCTTGAGCCTACCGGATGATGGTACTTAGTCGAAAAAGCAAAAAGTGCTATAAATTCTGATATTTTGTTTTTTTAAAATAATGGAAATAGCAGAAAATTATTTTATTTTGATAGATACTTTAGAAAGGTTTGAAAATGATGAGTGTTACATTGAAAAAGGATATCAAATATTGAATAGTTTAACTTTTGCCAAAGATCCAGCAAATATTAAGCTCTATTTAAAGAAAAGACTCAGATAAAGCGAAATAGTTGATTTACTATCTTTTCATAATATTAGTTTATCTTCTGCAACTTATGTTTTGTTAAAAATGTTTCTGTACTTCTTTACCAGTTAAAAGAAGTTTTTCTATGCATAAAAAAATGCTAAATTGCGACAGAAATTTTGATAAGAAAAATATTTATGACTATTTTTAATTTTATTAAAACAAATTTAATGATTAAAATTATATTAAAATAACTGCTATTTGTTTGATTTTTTAAATGCAATTTTCTAATTGCCCTAATTATCATTTATTAGTACAAAGCTATATATATTTTTTTGTAAGAAAATAAATAAAATTTTTACAAAAATATTTTGTACACCATTAAAATATTATATAAGAAATATAAATGGAATATTAAAAACAAAACAAATTTGCAGAGATATAAACAACATAATTACCCAATATGTACTGCTGCAAATTTTATAAATTCCAATATTTAAAATTCGTTAATCAATCACAACGTAAAAAATTTATTTGAAAACCAAAATATCATTTTTATATAAAATCATGTATCTAATAATTATTATCTAATTAAAAAAATCTTTTTATAAATATGAAATTTATTGACTAAATCTATCTTCTTTTTTAACAAGATTGTAAAAATCAAAAGTTAACCTTAAATTAATCGCTGTAGATTTTAGTTAAAATAAATATTAAAATCTTTATTTCGTTTTTCTAAATAATATATTGTTCATATAAATACTATAAAATCTTAATATTCAACACATCCCAAAATGTACATTATTTAATTAGTCTTTAAATTATCAATCTTTTAATATATTTAACATCTTTATATAATTCTATAAAATTCTTACTCTCTTCATCAATTTCTTCCCCTCTCCACTTTTTCTTACTAATTTCCAAAATCTTTTTTAAAACTTTTCTTTCTGTTTTTAGTTCAA